ATTCACTGCCCTCACGACTATACAGCTTCCTTCCTGGGAAGAAAACAACAAAGATATGGAGTGGTTTCTTTGAATGCTTAAGTCAAGACCAAGAAATTCAGAAGATAGTGCATTGACCAAATCATTCATGTTTTGTAATGGAGTCCCTCCAGAATGAGAATGAGTAGTTCATCCACATTCACGCTCTGTACCTGTCCATATCTAATTACTGGACCTCGAACCCCATAGTGCCATTGGAAAAACACAAATCTGATGACAGAGTCCTAGTCCATTTTCTGCTGCTAAAGAGAATACATTAGACGGGATACTTTATAAAGAAAATATATTTTTTCTTACAGTTCTGGAACCTGAGAAGTCCAATGTTGAGGAGCTCACACCTGGCGAGGGCCATCTTGCAGCATCATCTCATGGCATAAGGATGGAAGGGCAAATGAGCTTGAAGGAGGGGTAGGGAGAAAGCATACACCTGGAGGCCATTTTTAAAAAATTATATATATCTTTTATTTTAAAACTGTGGGGTACAGTTAAGGGTTAGGTATACAAATATTCATTGTGCAGGTACCCTTGTTGATGAGGTGTGCCCCCCCGATATTGATTACCATTAATCCCACCTCCCTGCCCCTCCCTGCCTCCCCCCCCATGGTTTCCCACCGCTGTCAATCCTTTTCTTATAGTATTACGGTAGTTGTTCAAGATCCACTTATGAGTGAGAACATGTGATATCAGATCTTTGTTTCTATGACAGATCACTCAGTATTATAAACTCTAATTCCGTCCAGGTTGCTGCGAAATTCATGATTTTGTTTTTTTTCTTTTTGAGTCGGAGTCTCACTCTGTCGCCCAGACTGGAGTGCAGTGGCCACTCCCGGCCACCGCAGCCTCGACCTGCTGGGCTCCGGCGATCCTTCTGCCTCAGCCTTCCAAGTAGCTAGAACTACAGGCGCGTGCTACCACACCTGGCTAATTTTTTATTTTTATTGTAGAGACAAGGTCTCACCAAGTTGCCCAAGTGGGTCTCGAACCTGCGGGCTCAGGCAATCCACTCGCCTCAGCCTCCCAAAGTGCTGGGATTACAGGCTGAGCCACCGAGCCCAGCTGGGCCATTTTTTAAAAGGCATTAAAGCCACCTGTGAGAGTGGAGTCCTCATGGCCTAACCACCCCGTAAAGACCCTACATCTTAGTACCACAACAATGGCAATTAAATTTTGACTGGGCTTGGTGGCTCAAGCCTGTAATCTGCATACTTTGGAAGGTTGAAGTGAGGGGATTGCCTGAGTCCACGAGTTCAAGAACCCTGGGCAACTTGGTGAGACCGCATTCTACACTAACAAAAAAAAAAAATTAACCAGGCATGGTAGTGCGCGCCTGTAGTTCCGGCTACTTGGAAGGCTGAGGCAGAAGGATTGTCGGAGTCCAGCAGGTCGACACTGGGGTGGCGGTGAGCATGCCACTGCACTCCAGCCTGGGTGACTGAGTGAGACTCCAACTCAAAAATAAATTTCAACATGACTTTTGGAGGAGACAAACATCCAAACCATAACAAAGAGGTTCTGATCAAACGCTTCATAATATTCCAACTTTCTGCTATATCTACCCCATAGATGGTACAATGCCGCGGCCTGCGTGGCTGCCCTGAGGGTCCCAAGAGAGAGAATGGCGAGAGATTAAGAAAGACACGGTCCCAAAGACATAAAGAAAAGCTGGGGCCAGGTGGGACACTTTCCTCTGATGGAGAAGTGACCCCGAACTAGCTCCGCATGTTTGTTTTATAATTAAGCACAAAGAAAGTTAGAAGAGATTCAAGGTCTGTGAAGGCAAGTTGTTTCGCGGTTATCTTGCTGTGGCTAAGGCTTTATTTATACTATGTGCATCCAGATGTGTAGGCATCTGAGATATTTCGTGTAGCAGGATGCATCCCTCACAGCCTGCCTTTGGCTAGGATGCAGGGCTTCCAAGCGAGACCTTGCCTGCGCTGCAAGCTTGGGGCCATTCAGCGAGACCTTGCCTTCGCTTGGGCCTTTACTCAAGGCCTGCTACAGTGACAGTGCTTATCTGCTGCCCATGTCACATCCGCTCCTGACAGTACAATACACTTTTCTTAGACTAGAACCCCAGTTCCTTCCACTCAAACGTCTTATTCGCCCTCTTTAAATTTTAGTGAGTTTTATTTTTTGGATAAACTACACCATGACAGTTGCACCAATGGAAGGGCAAGATTATGGTGACTGCCTCACTTTGGATTTAAGCAGAAGTCTTATCCAGGCCTATATAATTGGGAAAATTTAAGATAAAATATGCAGATCCTGGCAAATGGACTATGTAATCCTCACATCGATCCAGACAGAATATTAGTCAAACTCCAATAAAAAATAGAAATGATTGTACCCTGATTTGTTTTAAAACTCAAGAAGCATGCAGCTAACTATGATAGGGCGGTAATTAGGTACTTGGAAAATTACATAACCAGTACTGAAGTTATCCAAGTTTCATTCTAAAAATGTTCCCATTATTTTAATGAGCCACTAGATAACATAAAGGTACAAAGTGAGTGTTTAATAAAATGTCTCTCAAAAAGCACTGTTTGAAAATGCCTTTCTGTTAATTGCCGAAGCTAACAAATGCTAGATGTTACCTAGTTCTGAATCTTGGGAGCACATTAGAATCACCTAATAGCTTCTTAAAACTATCAGTACCCCAATTTCAGAGATTCTCACTTTAATTGTTCTGGGTTGGGGCCCAGGCATTGGTAATTATAAAGCTGCCCCACATAATGCTAATGTGCAATCAGGTTTGAGGCCACTCTCTATGCTATTGTAGCCCATTCTCAGCTGTTTTGACCTAAATCTTCATTGATGCCTAATCTATAATAGAGACTTCCCCTCAAGTCCAAGATTTGCTCAGTAGGACAAATGTTATTTCTGAGAGCCCATTTAACTAACAGTGGGGAGGAAATGTCATGTGTGTTGTGCATTATGCGAAAGTGATCTTAGATTCTTTGCCGTATCAGTTGTTAGAAAGACAACTCATATTTCACTGGGCATCTCCAAAACCTACCTCTCACCTTAGATGAACCCTGATGTTTGTCAGCATGGGAGCTTTCATCCCCTGGAATGAGAACAGAATTCATGTTGGCAGTAATCCCAACAATTTTGGAGAACTTAAGAAGTGGCAAAAGTGCAATAAATAGCTATTAAATTTAAATAGTCCTATAAGAAATGAACTATTACTAGAAAAATACACTTCCCAATATTCAGATTTTTCAAGTATAACGTGAACTAAATATTTTGTTGTGAAGTGGGGCAAACAATGTCTCACACATAGCAGACATACAATAAACATTTTAAAACCTAATTAACGTATAGTGAAATTGTTCATAAACAGGTGTGGATGAAATTTAGAATTCTTATTTGGATAACAAGATTAGCATATATTTCAGGAGTAAATGTAAAGCAGTTCCTCCAATAATTATACTATAACTAATGGCATTGCTATACTAATTTTTTAAAGAACAGTGCATTTCAAAAACCTTCATCGTTTAATTAAATTTGCTGTCTTAATTACTCTCAACCTTAGACAGATGATACCCTGTCAGTCCTGAAAGAACGGGTAAGAAAAAGAATCCATTCTGGCCATAAGAAAAATTAAGCTACTCCATAAAATCTATCATTTTCTCCAACACACTTTCTTTTGCTGCTAGATTTTATTCTTCAGTGAATAAACATAAACTAAGGACCAACTATGTGCCAGGCATCCTGCTAGATGCTGTTTAGGATATAGGCTAGTGATTAAGAGCCAGAAAGATGGAGCTTGAAACTAAGCTCTGCTAGTTGTCAGCTAGTGACATGGACCATGTTCCTTATCTGTAAAATGGGAGGATCAATTTGAAGGGCTGTCAATATTGGGAAACAAAATATGCAGTGTGCCCAGCCCTAATTGTTACTATATCACTGGTTTCTCACATCTCTAGGACTAGGAAAGGGTACTGTATTCTGTTGGCAAATGTGTCATCAGAGGCGTTGAGAGTTTGTGACTTGGATAGTTTATCCTTCGAGAGTTTTATTTTTACTGTATATTATTATTTTTTTTTTTTTAAGAGTTGGAGTCTCACTCTGTTGCCCAGACTGGAGTGCAGTGGCCGCTCCCGGCCACCGCAGCCTTGACCTGCTGGGCTCCAGCGATCCTTCTGCCTCAGCCTTCCAAGTAGCTGGAACCATAGGTGCGCGCTACCACGCCCAGCTAATTTGTGTGTGTGTGTGATTTATTGTAGAGATGAGGTCTTGGCAAGTTGTCCAGGCGGTTCTCGAACCCGCGGGCTCAGGCAATCCACTCACCTCGGCCTCCCAAAGCGCGAGATTACAGGCTGAGCCACTGAGCCCGGTTTACTGTATATTATTCTAACGTATCTTCTGGTAATTCTTCTTGTGTGCTTTCTAGAAATGGAGAAACGATTTGTCTCCACAAAGTCAAAAACTACTAGCTCTAGTGTTTTGGCAACAAGAAGAATCTGGGAGCATTGAAGAAAAACTCGGGGAACATGCCAGTTGCAGACACCTGTAGCTTAACAGTGTGAGCAAGCACCTTGTGTCATTATCTGCTTTGGGATGTCGTATCCTTTCAATCAGGTATATTGTCTTTAATATTTGCTACCTACATTACATTCTCTGATATCAGAAAAGGAAATACGTCACAATATCACTAAGTATAGGCTAAAAAACTGTATGAGGTAACTCATTGATTAGGATGGCATCCTCATTGGTGTTCCTCTTAGAGTCCATGACTTGGTGTGGAACCAAATGTATACACACTTTACTAGAAGATACTAAGCAAAGCAAGTATTTAACTGTTGACATTCTGAAAACAAAGTTTCTCATACTAGTAAGGGGGGAGTCTCCTTTATTATTTGGTTAGTTACAACATTCCTTTGGCGCAGTCCTCTTTAAGTCTTAATAGATTCTCCTCCATTAGTTCTTATTTTTATTTTTATTCTGTGGCAACCAAAGGAACTTTTCCAGCAACAGAACAAGTTCTGGGCAAAAGTTCTTAAGAAATCTGCCAAAAATACCTCATGCTGTTTTTCCTGGGATTCCTTGACATACGACTGCTCCAGCCAGACTCAGAAACACAGCTTTGATTGTTCTGTTACCATTAAATAATGATCTAAGCGGCAAAATCAGGAATGTAACCCAAGGCCAACACTGCTCTCCAGCAAGCCTTCCCAACAGCGCAGAACTGATTGATGTCAGGGTCACAGTCTGCTTCCATTCTTGGCGTATCTCTCTGCTGTTAATTTTTTATATCCTTCAAGTTACTGGTAATTTACAAATAGACAGAAGCCAAGGTGAGAAGTAAACCTAGCATATAGCTACACACTCATTTTCCATTTAGTCAACATTTATTGATGAAAGGGTCCACTAAGGGGAGGTGAGTCTGTGCCGATGCCACAGGAATAATGCAAGATTGAGATAAGGAAGAAAGTAGAAAGAAGTTTATTATTCACCTTTGACAGATTGGAAAGGGGGTCAATACTCACAGGCAAGTGTGGCATCAAAGGGCCAAGAACTGGGTATACTTAAGGGCCTTTGGGGTAAGGGAGTTTAGGCCTCAAGGAGTGCCCAGGGCTGCAGGTCTTTGATGTTGATTGTAGCCACTTTAGTCTTAGATCTTGAGGTCATCAGACATTAGAATTTCATGCCCTCAGGTGATGGGTTAGATGAGAGGAGACAAGGGGAGGGAGTTTTCCTGCAAAAGACTTTTCAGACCTTTGCAGTCCACAAACTCCTTGACCAAAAGGTGGTCTAATGATCATTTCTATGGCTCTGTCCTTGCCTTGCATCTGATGGAGAGTTGCCGACTTGGTCTACAGAAGAACGTCTGAACGCTTCCTAAAACCTGCCTATTGGAAATTTATCAATATCTAAACCGTGCGAGATTCAAAGCCTGTCAGGGGTAAAGTCTAAGCAAAAAATGGTTATGCTGAGGCAAAACTACACTAAACTCAGTTTATTCTGGGTCTCTATAGGTACTTCCTTTCAATTGAGCACCTTCCGTGCACCTGGTACCTAATACATGTCTGGGGTAGGAAAGAAAGTCTCCACACTCCAGAGATCATGATAGAAATGGGTTGCCTGGATTGTCAAGGAAGTCTACCAGTTGACGTTTGGTTGCAAACTTTGGCAAAAAATAATTTATTAGCAGGATCATAAGGAGAAGTCTACCAGTTGACGTTTGGTTGCAAACTTTGGCAAAAAATAATTTATTAGCAGGATCATAAGGAGATCCAGAATCAAGAGGAGGCTAAGGAAAGCGATCAGGTAACTGGTACCCCAGGGAAGATTATGTGGCAGAAGGATCACTTCCAACACCAACATGATAGCTTCCATTCATTAAGATTAAAAACCTAACCGGGCTCGGTGGCTCAGCCTGTAATCCCACCCCTTTGGGAGGCTGAGGTGAGTGGACTGCCTGAGCCAGCAGGTTCGAGACCCGCCTGGGCAATTTGGCAAGACCTCATCTCTACAATAAATCAAAAAAATGAGCCAGGTGTGGTAGCACGTGCCTGTAGTTCCAGCTACTTGGAAGACTGAGGCAGAAGGATCGCCGGCGCCCAGCAGGTCAAGGCTGCGGTGGCCGGGAGCGGCTACTGCACTCCAGTCTGGGCGACAGAGTGAGATACCAACTCAAAAAAAAAAGAAAGTAGAGCCTTACATTCAAAGTATGAAGAATCCTTTATTTATTTATTTATTTATTTAGGTCATCCAGGCTGGAGTGCCTGATAACAGCTCATTGCAGTCTCAACTTCCTGGGCTCAAGTGATCCTTCTGCCTCAGCCTCCTGAGTAGCTGGGACTACCGGCATGCACCATCACATCCAGATAATTTTTAATGTTTTGTAAAGACAAGTTTTTGCTATGTTGCCCAGGCTGGTCTCAAAACTCCTGGCTCAAGAAATCCTCCTGCCTTTGGCCTCCCAGAGTGCTGAGGTTACTGGTGTGTACCTCCACAACCAGCAAGAACACATGCATAAGAGGTCATTTCTCTTTTTGTAGAAATGATTCAAATCAACATGATGCTGACTGATACACTCAATAAAAAGACATGCAAGGTAAAATGTGTGCCACCTGTTCAATCCTGCAATATATTAATAAAGGAATATAGACTTTGGAAATTCTTCTAGAGTTCTTTAAATTATTTTATTGTTTTTAAATTGCTTTTTCCTCATCTTTTCAACACACTTAATTCAGCAAACTGTCATGTTAACGTTTATAAGGAAGTCTTCATTCAATATTAGAATTCATATATCAGTGAACTAAAGTTCAATGTCTTTTTTGCAGATGTCTACTTAAAATGTTAAGTTAAATTAACAGGGGGAAAAATAACTTTTTTTTTTTTTGAGTTGGAGTCTCACTTTGCCGCCCAGGTTGGAGTGCAGTGGTAGGCTCCGGTGATCCTTCTGCCTCAGCCTTCAAGTAACTGGAACTATGGGCGTGTGCTATCACACCCAGCTAATTATTTGTTTTTAATTTTTTTTATTGTAGAGACGAGGTCTCGCCAAGTTTCCCGGGCTGGTCTCAAACCTGCTGGCTCAGACAATCCACTCGTCTTGGCCTCCCAAAGTGCTGGGATTACAGGCTAAACTACTGAGCCCGGCCAGAAAAATAACTTCTATAACTTACATTATCCCTTAAAATTATGGGCGACTATTCATTTTTTAAACTACTAACTGGAAAGAGTCAGAAATGTATTTCCCATTTCCACTCTTTACAACTGAAAATGTGCTGGGAATAAGATGTTCTTAATAACAGAATTTCCCAGCTGACTCAAAGGCTAAAATTGACATTTAACCATACACGTCCCTATCTTTGTGGACTAAGTACACTGGATTCAATTTAGCCACAGCTATCCCCAAACCATAACACCCTCCATCTTTCTCTCAAGTCAAAGCCTACTGCTATTGGTAACTTTTGTGTGATCACACACAGCCAATACTAGCAGCTAACATTTTAACACTAGCTTACTATGATGGTGGCCTTGAAATATTTGCCAGGCTCGGTGGCTCAGCCTGTAATGCCAGCACTTTGGGAGGCCAAGGCAAGTGGACTGCCTAAACCAGTGGGTTCAAGACCAGTCAGGCAACTTGGCGAGACCTCATCTCTACAATAAATAAAAAAATTAGCTGGTCGTAATAGTAGGCGCCTGTAGTTCCAGCTACTTGGAAGGCTGAGGCAGAAGGATCGCCGGAGCCCAGCAGGTCGAGGCTATGGTGGCTGGGAGCGGCCACTGCACTCCAGTCTGGGTGACAGAGTGAGAATCCAACTCAAAAAAAAAAAAAAGGTTTTATGTTATGTGCAAATAAAATAAAGTTCTACCCATAAATTTTTTTTCTAAAATAATTAAGAGCTCTTTTTTGAAAAGCTACACAACAAATTTTAAAAGGCACTGGGATGCCTCTACTTTCAGATCATTACTAGGCTTAAAAAATGTTCTATTGGGAATCACAAGTTAGAAATGAGTATTCTCCAAAGTGTAAATTATAGTGCCATTTCAGGCAAAGATTGTTCATTTCTCAGTCCCGACATTTCTCAGTCCCCACAACTACCTATCAGAACAGTTAAACCAGGCCAAAACAATCCAGCATAATTAGGCTTCATTATATGATGTCATTAAGCTCTTTAAGATGCTAAAAAACCAAAACAGGAAACACTGAATCAAAATATATTATTGTTAATACCTTGTTGTTGTCCTGCTTCTGTAACAGTAAAAAAGGGAATATTTAACTGCAAAGAAAATTTTATTTTATGAATCACTAGCCATGAATTTTTGTCATCAGTTATATAAATGTTGCCTAACTGCCCAGTGCCATTATCCAAATGGCATGACCATTTTATGTCTATAATTCACTTCTGTATTTCCAAACAATTTTGATGATTTACATAAGCACATCCCTCAGTGAAGGTTTAACACTAAAACACAATCTAACATCCAAAATATCTAATCCTTCATACACAGCAATGTAGGAGAGATTGATTTTTAATCACTTTTCATTTAAGTGACTTTATGTAAAAAATAAGTCAATAATTTAGAAGTCCTAAGTCTCCGAAGTCCTGGTGCTTAAGTCCTAAGGATAGTTTCAAATGTACATATAGAAATGGGTGCAGTGAGATTTTTAAGAAACATCTTCCATGTCCACATCCTGTTGTAACTGCTGTACCATTTTCTCTTCCAGCTGCTTTCCTTTGCCTTTAATAAAAATAAAAATAAAAAACTTAATTCAATGTGATCTTTAGGAATTTATATCAACACTTTATAAAGGATCCTGTATTTTCAAGTAATATTTGCCATTTCTAAGAAATTTAAGAATAACAATAGCTAAACTTAACAGATATGCCATGCATAAAGTAAGCATTCTACATATATATGCTCATTTTGCTCTGAAAATAACCTCCATTTAAAGATGAGAAAGCTGAGGCACAAAGACAGATTAACCCGCCCAAGGTCAATCAGCTAATAAGTAAAAGGCTGATATTTGAACCCTGGCCATCTGGATCCAAAGTCCCTACTCTTAATACTACTATATCTACCTCAAAGAGGATTATCTAAAAAAATTAGATTAAAATGGTTCATTCCCAGTGCTTTTGGGGTATTAGTTTGAAACAAATGTTCCAGAATTTTGTTTGTTTTATTTTAATAAAATCTGGCACAAAAATAACTAAAGTAGATTTACACAAATCTACTCAACATATGGTTACAAATTTGACCTTTACCAAAGTCTAGGTAAAATTTCTCTCCCTTTAAGTAATCAGCATAAATGAACAAATTATATAACATATTGTACTTGGTGCCAGTTAAGTAAAACACTGATTTTCTAGCATATATATGAACAACTGCCCAAATGAGTGACAATCAGTAAGCAACAGGAGCAGTAATTCAAAACAGTAATCCTCAAACTCTAGTATCAAAATCACCTGAAATGCTACTAAAGAACAGAGATCCAGACTCAAAAGGCCTGGGTCTTTGTATTTATACTAAGGTTCCCAAGTAATTCCAATAATAACTGAAGTTAGAGGACCACTAATATAAAACATTGTCCTATAATCAAAACATGTATGAGATAAAATCATCCACAAAATTACTACTCAAATCATTTTGCTTAACTTGGGGAGCTATCTTATGGAAGATAGTATTTAATGAAAGAAGAAAAGAAATACTACATGCATAGATTGACCGCAACTGGAAAGCACACTGAATAAATTATTTTTTATAAACCAAGTCATACCATAAAGGTAATGTGAAAGGTAACATTTTAAGTGGAAAAATACCCAAACTTAGTTGGTACCTAATTACACAGATGACAAAAATCTAGATTTTTCATTTCTCTTCTTAAAGCAGAGAACTCTTGTGCAATGCAGTACTCACCTGCAAGAGGGGCTCGAATAAGATGGATGTTTTGCTTGACTTCTTTAATGTCCTGAACTTTCTGTAGTTCTTTATTTTTCTTCAATCTAAGGTAAAACATATCAAAGTCAAAATTTTAGATACTAAAATTTCTTTAAGAAGCCACTGCTTCTTAATAATTCATAATAAAGCTACTAAATCTATCCATTAAATTAACCACACAGATGAAGAATGGGAACCTGATGGTTGCCTTCTGTTCACTCTGTTCTTCTTCCCCTCTACACCCCACCCAACAGGAACGTCAGTTCTGTCAAATAATTCCCAAATGGCAAGTGAACGTAACCTAAAAGATTTCTACTTCCCATTTATTCCCAATTTTAAGATAAAGTCACTTGTTAAGCCCTTACATTTTCTTTCCTAATAACGTAAACTCAAGATGACTGTTTAGTTCCTAATTAGCTTAAACAGGATTCCTATACTACCACAATATGTTCATTCATTACGTCCCTGGTGCCTAGTCTGGAACTCAATATTATCTGCTAAGTAAATGAAGGAAGAGATTGAGAAAAAGAATCAACAAACCCAGAGACCAAAGTTTATTATATACATATAGTGCTCTTTCACATAAAGCAATCTCTAACTTTTTAGGTGCCTAGATCTTTTCTCAAGTAGATAGGTCTGTGTTATGTAATTTTTTTGTTTTTTCTTTGAGTTGGGGTCTCACTCTGTAACTCAGGCTGGAGTGCAGTGGTGCAAACATAGCTCACTACAGCCTCAAGTTCCTGGTCTCAAGCAATCCTGCTGTCTCAGCCTCCAGAGTAGCTGGGACTTAAGGCTTGTGCCACCATACCCACTTAATTTGTAAATTTTTGTTGAAATGGGGTCTTGCTCTGTTGCCCACGCTGGTCTTGAACTCCTAGCCTCAAGCAATCCTCCTGCCTAAATCTCCTCAAGCGCTGGGATTACAGGTGTGAACCACTGTGACCAGCCTAATTTTCAAAAATCATTCAGTAATTACAAGACTGTAAAACACATATGATATTGAACAGAAATGCTAACAGACTAGTTCTCAAACATTTAGACTCTTTTTCTGTAATGTTTTAACATCTTTGAAGTCAGAAAGCTGCTGATATATGCTTCTTTTCTCTGATAGATTCCACAGCAATTAGATTAAAAGCTAATAATCCTGCTCTGAAGAAATAGCTGATTCCAGACTAGGGAATGAGAAGCACAAGATGAGGCTTAAAATATCTTGTTGGCTGGGCTTGGTGGCTCAGCCTGTAATCCCAGCACTTTAGGAGGCCAAAGTGAGTGAATTGCCTAAGCTCACAGGTTCGAGACCAGTCTGGGCAACTTGGCAAGACCTCGTCTCTACAATAAATCAAAAAAATTAGCCAGGCGTGGTAGTGCGCACCTATAGTTCCAGCTACTTGGAAGGCTGGGGCGGAAGGATCGCCAGAGTCCAGCAGGTTGATGCTGGGGTGGCCATGAGCATGCCACTGAACTCTAGCCTGGGCAACGGAGTGAGACTCCAACTCAAAAAACAAACAAACAAACAAAAAAAAACCCCACATCTTGTTATCTATAAAGTAAGAAAGCACTCAAAGAGTGATGAGGAATTATCAAAATGATGTGGGAGCCCACCAGAAAGAACTTCTACTGGCCAAACTCAGGCTACTTAGAACATCAAAATAAATAATGACAATAAAAAATTATAACTCACTGAATACCATAACAACCCATGAATATACAACATGATAATAAATGAAGAAATTATAAAATTGAGGAAAAAGGAAAAGCTCTTTCTTACATAAGAAAGGCAACTTAGAAATATAAAAGAATTAATGGAATTAGAAAAACCACCAATTGGCAACAATCACAATAATAACTGATTCAGGCAAGACTCTTATGAATGCTAAAACCAGTAAGTTTAGCATCTGAGAAGTAACAGGCTTTCTGTAGAATCTCAATGTATCTCCGGTAGGATATGTATTGATTATAGAGGGGAAAAAATAGTAACATTACAGTGAAGAAACCTGACAGACATCACCTTAACCAAGTGATCAAAGTTAGCATCACCTACAGGGTGACATCATATGCCTCTTCATACGATGCATGAGAAAGGCACATGTGATAACACTGTGATACTCCTGCCGAAGGTGCCTAACCAAAATCTAACCACGAGGAAAACATCAGACAAACCCAAGCTGAGGAACATTCTATAAAATAACTTAGCCTATACTCTTCAAAACAGTCATGTAAGACAGAGAAAGATGAGAAACTATCCAGATTAAAGAAGCATGAGGAATATGACCACTAAATGCAATCCATCATCCAGGATTTTCTGTTGCTATAAAGGACATTATAGTAACAACTGATGAGCTCTAAACAAGGTTTATGGATTATACAATAGTACTGCATCAGTGTTAATTTCTTCACTTTGATATGTAATCACACTATGTTTATTTAAGAAATGTTTCAACTTGTTATACACTGCAACTAAGAACAAAGTAATGTAGTAAGTGTAGTAAAATGCTAACAATATACAAGTTTTTCATACTATTGCTGCAAGTTTTTTGTAAGTTAGAAAGTTACATCAAAACAAAAAGTTAAAAAATACTAATGCCTCTAGATATCTACTAGTAATTATTTTTCCAAGAATAACTCTATGCAAATATTCATTCATACCGGTTCATTATAAATTTAGCTTGGCGCTTCTGTTTGATCTCTTCAACTCTCTTCATTGCATCAACTACAAAAAAATTCATAAACGTTAGCAAACTTATACACATTCAAGCAGTTATGACAATAATCAACAAGTATTTTAACAAACACTCATTATTCTGATTTAGAAATGAAATTAAGTGAAAAAATTCATCGTCAAAGCAATCCCTACTGAAAAAGCCGACAAAAATATATACTCTTGGCTAACATTATTGTCAACTTCTCTTTCATAAGCATCACTTTTCAAATTTCTTTTCACAAAACACTTCATTGCATTAAATTTTCCTTCCACTTTAAAACAGTCCAATGTTTTTCAAATTTTATTATAAAGAGAACCTGAATTATCGGAAACTAATTCCATTCTTAGGTTCATAATCTTCATGAATAAGGATAGCACCTTGCCGGTCACAAAACACTTTTTCTTCAAGTGCCTGGGATATGGTCGGCACATGATGGAATGAATATTGGTAGAATAAACCAAGCAATCAACATTGCCATGTTCTCAACCACTAAAATCCAACGGTTTTGGAAAATGTCTACAGGAGCCTTGGCTGTAAGGTAGCAGAGTCCAGCTATGCTCTAAAAAATCTCTACCAATACTGTGCAATACAAGACAAACCACAAATGTAATTTGAAATTTTCTAGTAGCCACAGTTTTTAAAAAACTAAAAAGGAACAGATGGAAATTTAACAATATATTTTATTTGACCCAAATATCCAAAATATTGTCATTCAACTTGTAATCGATATAAAAATTATTAATAAAATATTTTCCTGTTTTCATACTAAGTCTTCAAAACCTAGCATATATTTCACATTTACAGCACATCTCAATTCAGACTAGCCACATTTCAAGTACTCAGCAGTCCCTATGGCTAGAGGTGTTACTGGACAAGACTTCTGGCCTAGCTCCTTAAGTAGTGTGTAGATCTAAATACTAACAAGATATTCAGAGTCTTGGAAGTATCTCCCCACAATATACTTATTAACAACAAAGAGTAAAATATTAACTCTCCAGTGGAAAACCTGGCAGACATCACCTTAACCAAATGGTCAAGTAATGGAACTAATGAACAGCACAAGCCTTCTGACAAGACACACTAAGAAGTTAGCATCCTGTCTCTGATGTTCTTACCAAATGTGCATTACCCAAACCTAATCTTGAGGAAGCATCAGACAAAACTCAGTTAAGGGATTTCATACCAAACACCTGGCCCATATTCTTCAAAAGTGTCAATGTCATAAAATACAAAGACAAACTCAGAAATGTTCCAGATTAAAAGACTAAAGAGACATGTACTATTTTTATTTTTTCTCCGAGTCGGAGTCTCAGTGGCATAATCACAATGATCATAGCTCTCAGCAGCCTCAACCACCTGAGTTCAGGCAATCCTTCAACCTCAGCATCCCAAGTAGCTGGGACTACAGGTGCATGCTACCACACTCAGCTAATTTTTTCTATTTTTTTTGTAGAGACGAGGTTTCACTATGTTGCCCAGGCTGATCTCAAACTTCTGGGCTCCAGCAATCCACCCACATCAGCCTCCTAAAGTGCTGAGATTATAGTATGAGCCACCACATCCACTGACATACATGTACTATTCTTAACTAACTTTTGCAATACAGACTATTGTTGGACAATTAGAGAATTATGAATAGGCCTGATATTAGGTAATAATATTGTATCGATGTTAATTTCTTGATTTTAATAATTACACTGTGGTTATGTGAATGTTCTTATTTTCGGGAATGAAAAATATGTATTTTTTAATAGTTCGGAAAGAATTATATGCTAAAGGAGGGAAGGGGAGGAGAGGAGCGACAAAGAGAAAAAAATGTTGGCATTTAGGGAATCTGGATGAAGGATATCAGAGAACTCTACCCCTGCAACTTTTCTGTAAAATCTAAAATTAGGTCAAAATAAAAACCTTTTTAAAAATGTAGTCCAGGGAATAGTAACATTGGCATCATCTGGGAGCTTGTTAGATATGCAGAATCTCAGGCTCTATACAGACCTATTGAATCTGCATGTTTAACAAAATCCCCTGTAGGATTCATGGAACCTCTGGAATTAAATAGATGTTTACATTAGTAACGTTTAAAATGTCAACTATAAATCCATGCAGTAGCTTAGAATTTATATGCTGAATTTGTATCTTTTCTTCTTCACCTTGCAGCAAAATGATATGGGCAAGTTCTAATACTTAGAAGCATGTCCACACTGTAAAGTTATTCAGAGGAAAATAAACAAAAGTGACAGGTATCTCTTTTCCAAAGAATAAATATATTGTATTTCCTGATATTCCAGAAGACTGAAATATTTTGAATATAAGAAGCATCTGACAGACATCAAAAACTGATCTGCAATACAAAGAGACATGAGGGATAAAATATAAACTACTCTTCCTACTATCTCTGCTTTTGAAGTTCTACTACTACTACCTCTGTGAACATTAGCACCTTAACAATGGAAATGATGTTAAAAGGGATGTCCAGCTATGACCCAGTAGGCGAGTGATAAAGTTTGGGAATTCTAAACCTTAGGAATTTCTGGCTAACAAACCCATCTTCCCCACACCCAGTACTAGATATGGCTAAAGGCTTCATCAAAACAGTCATGGGAAGAAGAGAAGATAGGATGGGGTCTCCAACACACATGAACACAGTGGAATAGTCAAGCTAGCTCAAAGGACCAAGTTTTACTACATACAGGACTTTTTTCATTAAAGTCTCTGCCTACTTCAGAAAAAAAAAGACAAGAATTAGATATTAGTGCTTTTAATTTCAGTAGCCTATAACTTCATTTTCACCTAAGTCAAGAACTTAGAAGTTCTCCTGGAAAATTTGTAATGACAGCCTTACGTGCTGCAGTACTTTTTCATTTTAAAGAAACACTAAATCGTATAAAATACAGTTTATATCCATAAATCAAATAATCTGAAGTTGTAAAGTGTGTTAGGTTTTGTGTATATTTTAACTGTGTCACACTCACTTCAAAAAAGTATTTACCATTTCTATCTTTTTCAGATTTTTGCATGTTTTTACATTTCTGTATGGGTACTTCAAGTAGTGTCAAATTTAACAATTGCATTTTTCATAATGAAAATACCAGCCAATTCTAAAAAGGAGTTGGTAAAAGATACAAATACAAGTCATTAAAATCAGAATAAAATAATAAAAGCCAAGCAATAAAAATAGAAATTTTTATATTTCAACAATAACTAACATGTAAAGTTATAGTAATTCCCCAACCAGCCTCTCCTGAAAATTCCTGGTATAAAACTTACTAGTTTTATTCCATAGCTCTCGCTGGTACTTGACAGGTTCATTTCTACGTTTTTCAAATTCAAATGAATTATCCTGTGAAGGGAACAGAGAAAGTAAAAATATGGTTTCAAAAAGGTAGAAAGGAAACATTTCTTAAAACACCCTCCTTTTCATAAGAATTTCAAGTGAGCAAAGAACCACCCCAGGTGATCTCAGAGAATATAAGTTTTCAAACTTTTTCACCTTTACACAGTTCTATAAACACAACAGCCCTACTGAAAACATCTCTCTACATTCAAGTGATTCTCAAAGGGAGAGGAAGGGACAGTATCGCCCCTATCATTCAGAGAAGCATATATAATTATTGGGACTTCAAATAAACTGGAAAAGCTTCCCCAGTTCTCCATTCCTAGATAAGACTCACAGCCAGAAAGCTTTGTATTAGATTGAATCATATGAAATTGTCATTTTTCACAGATCAAGAAGAGTCAAACATCAAGAATTTCATATGGTTCGACCTAAATATCCATCTGTTATAGCAAAAAGATGTGAAACTATACATATCTTCAACTAAATGTAGTGCTACTCTGCAGAAGATTCACTTAACATTCCTTTAGGTTCCCTTCAAACACCAATACCACTTCAAGTAGTTGGTATTTGGCAGTTAATAATCCTACTAATCTTCAAACATGCACAACAATTTTGGGAAATCTACAGATGTTTCTCAGTTTTCAAACCTGACATAGACATATGAAACGCATCTTTATTCAGATCATAATAACCTGGAAACAAGTTAACAGGGTAATCGGTAAATGACTGTGGCTGGCATTCTTTTTTCACTCCTGCAGTTGCCACTTGTGTTTGGGGTGTTATGCTTCCTCTTGTGTCCAGACTGAAAATTATTTTTGTTGACAGTAATCGTGATTTGGCCTTGCCTCTTGTCAAACAATACTCTTTACATTCTTGAAAAACTCTGGCATTAAGGAAGCAGAACCTGCCCTCAGGCAGTAAACAGATGGGAAAAAGGTCGCAGGTATGGGGGGAAAGGGGACTATGAAGGAAGAAGTCAGTTTAAAAGATCGTCCTCCCTCAAACACAGCCAATGCTGCAGCTTTCATCTCCTCCCTTCTTAGGGATTGTATGTGGACAAGCTTCAATAGATCCCTTTATCAGTTCAATAACAGCAATATGATGACGCTGGCTCACCCCATGAAAGCCCTTGACTTCCCACTACTCTTCCTCACACAAACACTAATTTCTCTCCTCTCAGACACAAAGTCCTACCAAGAAAATCTAGAAACTGACAAATAAGTCTATTACAAACCTCATCTGTTCAGGAATCCTTTAATCTCTTAACTTCCTCTCAAAATCCTTGATTAGCAATACCCAACCTGGCCCCAATCCATCTAAATGATTTCCCTTTGTTTGTAAGAGCTAAAAATAGTTTCAGAGAGCAAGAAAAATCACTTCTACAAAATTGGATTGGAAACTTTTTTCCCCTTTCAGATTTCTACAGAATTGTTTTTCAGGGTCATATAAGAATGAGAAAATCAGCTCATTCTCAAAGCCAAATAAAAATTAAGCACTTATCAATCATGTTACAGAAAACCTTGTTACGACTGATTACATCACATACACCCCTCCCATTAAAATTTTGAAAAATGTAAAAACTGTATTGACAGCTAATTGTACTCACCACTGTAAGCTCTTTACCAGCTGCTTTCCGGAATGCTTTAGTCCACCTGACCTTTCGAGGATTGCGCTTCTTTTTAAAGTTTTTATGACACTTGGATTTACAAAATCTAAACACCTACAAGAAATGTAATTAAAATATTGAAAGTCAACATTAAAAAAAATGTTTGTACCATAGGATGCTATACCTGCTAGACAAAAAAATACTGCAAAGTCTGAGAAATGACAATGGTTCTCATGCACAATTCCTTCTACTTACACAACCATTTAGAAATGTGTAAAACATATCAGATTAAATAGAAATTGAACTTTTTTCTTTTACTGTCAAATATCATTCCAACTAGAGGCTAAGGATCCTGAAAATGTGATTAAAACCTAATAATCATTTTTATAGAATAACAGTAAAAGTTTACAATTATCTTGAATAAAGGGAATAGTTTTAAGTATAGACATTTATTTAAGTCCCTCCTCAATTCAGGAGAATTTTCAAAATTCACTTTCTGTGTACCTCAATAGAGATTAAAGTTCCAAACAACCATTCTGAAATCTCCTTTGATTTTTTCCATCCTTCTGGTTAAAAGTTCAAAATAATTTCAAAAGTCACTAAAACTGGCAATAGATTTGTATCCTAAAGTATAGATTCATAGCTCTACTAGTAAGATTCTTTACTTCTTTAATTCTCCACCTTCATCCCAAAACATTTAATCCTTTGATAGCGCTAACTTAAAACTTAGTGATGCTTTAACATGTTCCTGAAACAGCTCATTAGTACTCTGCATAAATCTAAATGTATTATTTTGTTATTTTGTAAATATCTTAGAACACGTTGCAATTTGTGTATGTTACTAGAGGAAAAGGGAACAAAAGAGTAATTATTTGGGGTTTATGGATCTTAGGAAAGAAAATTAAGTTGAATTATCATACCTAGAAGGTGTGACCCATAATAAAATAGGTCAAAATAAACGGTATAAACATTTCAAACTAAGTCTGTGTATATCATAAATCATAATACAATTTTCACTTTATATATATACAATGTTCTATGGGGAACTTCAAAAGAATGTCATTATACACAATAGGACAGTTTTCTTAGAAACTGCCAATATCAGTTTAATCTGATCTAGACCCCTATCTCCTGGAGAGCCTTCTTCTAAGAGTCTTGAGAGAAAGCATAATTTCAAATAGACTAGAAGATACAAAACTGCTGCAGTTTCCTGGAATAACCCACTATGAACTCGATATCAATAAATTTCATTTGCGTATTTTCAGCCCAAAATACTACTACCTTTTAAAGTAAAAGCCTCCTGCATTTAACACCTACTAGACAGTCCCTAGGCAAATCTTCATTTCTGAGATCTATCTAATGAGAGGATTGAATTTGTTCTGACTCTTCTCAATTCCAAACAGAGCCAATGAGGAGTCTATTTGACTCCTGATCTAAGAGGTATTACCTGAAAAGCACAATAAAGTAATTGAAGAGACTGGAACCACAGAGGTATGAAAGGGATGCAACCAGCAAATAAGGAGCATCTATGCATCTGATGTTGTACTAGTGCTTGCAATACAAGAATAATTAAAACATGGTACCGTGCCTTGAAAAGTTTAGTCTAGCAATGTGATATTCTCACTTTGCAAGCAAAAAAGATAGAGATCAGACTAAAATATAAACAATGGGGTAAAGCTATAATCATGGACAATGTAATACGTAAACGCATATGAGGAAGTGGTTAAATCTATGGTAGGGTATGCAGTGGGTGCATTATGTGTGAGGCAAAGCTTCATAGGCTCAAGTTTCCCTTTTAATCTAGTCCCCTGTCATTCTCAGTCTTCAACATGCACACAAATGATCTGTCATACCTTGGCCTCAAAGTTCTTCAAACTTTTTTTATTTTGCTAATTCAACAAACATTTATTAAGCCCTTATTAAGGTTCATTTATTTTTCCTGTTTGCAAAGTATGTGAAAATATAGAGCGTTAGCACTAATTCTACCCTTAAGAGGATACCTAAGAAGAGTAAGAGGTGGCTTTTACGAAAGACAGTTCCAAAAGCTAAAAGAATAAAGGCAGAAGGACTAGTTAAGAAGTTATAAAAGTGGCAAGTGCCTAATCTGAACCAGGGCAGGAGACTGGAAAAAAGGCAAAGATACCACTACCTTTTCAGAGGCAGAATGGACAGGACTTGATAACTGGATACAAAAGGTAAAAGATTCAAAAATGACTCTCATGTTTCCAGCAAAACTACTTAGGCACATAAGAGTGGTATTAATCCACAGAGCAAACAGATTTGAATAAGGAATTCTCTTTCCATAGGCCCACAAGCAGGATTTCCTCATCAGGTGGAAGATTCAAATCTAAAGCTAATGAGATATAGATCTGAAAATAATCAATATGGAAAAGATGAGATGCTGCTTCTTTGTTAGTGCTTAAGGGCCTCTGTCTTATTTTTCCCACCAACCTGTTCTGATCTACTGGCTTTCCTTAGGCAAGCTGACTCCCAACCAATTTAACACTGTCCTTGTAGACTTCCTCATTAACTTGAACTTCCACTGTGTCTGCCAAATCAATACTCAGTTCTGGATAGCTCTCACGATCTGTTGTTCTAATTCCAATATCCACCTGACAAGTATTGCTGGACAAAAATCATAAAATCACAACAATTAGATCATGTACAAAATCACAGTGCCTAGTAGAAATAAAACCCCAACCTGGGAATCTTTTGGCTAAGTTTTAAAAAATTCTTATCATGTTCCTGAGAATAGGTATTCAAAATCTTCTACATGCTATTTTAAGCTCTCAAACATATGTTGGTTCTTCACTCTCAGCTGGATCCTTTGCTCCCAATTTCATGAGGTCAATACCTTTGCTCTATTACAGAGATACAAGGTGATGAAGTTAGACTTGTAATTCTTTAATAAGCAAATATTCACTTTGTTAAATACAGATTCTTAGATCCTATTCCCCTCCCCCAAACATTCCAACTCAATAGCTCTGACGGAAACCAGGAATCTGCAAATGCCCAGTAATTCTGAAGCAAAAGTGAGAGAAGTAAAATTCTGAGAAACAATGTGTTTCTCTGAGAAAGTAAGGAGTAGGATTCATTCTGATATGACAGGGCAAATTCATTATCATTCAAAAAGTCTATCATGTCTAAGCCTAATATTTATTATGTACGTGTTTAGGCTTGTTTTATTTGTATGTGTAGCCCTATCCCAAGCCCCTATCATACAATCCCCAAACAGCGTAATTGCTCCGATCTATGCCTTTGTTCAAAATGTGAACTTTCCTTCCACCTAGACGCCCTCTCCTCTCTTCCGCAAAGCCCAAGATACAGGATAAACATCACCTCCAGTCTGAGTCTTTCTATATACGACCCTCCCCAACTCACTTCCGGTAACTTAAAACACAACTCTACTATTGAGGAACATGAACATTTCCACCAACATCTACACCCTAGTATGGTCCTTAGCATAATGTGACTGGACACACGATCTACAAAGTTTACTGGATTCAGAATCTGGCCCATGTACAAGAGTGCCAAACAGCCAGATTCCCAATCCCATCCGCACTGGCTGGGATCGCTCCAGAATCTCATCACAGCCAACCCTACTCCACCCTACCGGTGGCCGATTCCGCTAGGGGCACCAACAAGGGAAAACTCCCAAGCTGGAAGCTGAGGCCCGACACCCCGCTAGGCCACCCTCCCTCCTCTTGGAGCAGCGCGGAGAACCCGGGCCAAAGCCAGCAGGCGCAGAAGACTCGGGTGCCGAGCGGGCACGCCCAGGACCCGCTGGAGCGCGGGCGGGTCTCGGCCGCCTCACCTTGCAATCATTGCGGACAAACATCATGCCGTGGCCAGGATAGACGGGCCCCGAGCAGAAATAACACTTCTCGATACGCATGTTGAACCCGCGTGAGGAACCATGGACCCAACGCCAAGCTTCAGAGGAAGTGACGTAGTCCCATAACCGGAAGTGACGGCCTTCCCCGACCCGGAAGAGACGCGTGTTCTTCGCTCTTGTGGCTCCTTAAGAAAAGGACAAAAACAGGGCCGTTTGGCGCAGGCGCAGAGCCGCTGGCGAGGCTTGTCCGCCCTTACTCTGGAAAAGGGAAACGTGGGTCTGCGACGCCTTCTGAACTCGCTCTCCGGGCGCCCAGTATTTTCTCTCCAAACGTGGACGTTTACACATAACTTATATATGTCTTCTTGGCTTGTGCTTCGCCCCAGGGGGCTCCGTACACTTCGGGCTGTCTCGGAGACTCATTTGCCCACTGCCTGTTCCAGACCAGCCCCGATTCCGGTCTTGTGCGGACTTGCGGGGTTTAAGCGGCGAGAGCCTGCCGGCCAACCTCACTCTGACCATAAAGTGAAGACACTCGGGTCTCTAAGGCTCCAAGAATGTTACCAGCATCTTTTTTTAAGTATAACATGGTGTTCGCCTTTCCCCAACACCCATTTAAGTGCATCTACGTATGTGGTAAACAAACATTTTCACAGGAAACTGAAGTTCCCTCCGCAGACCTCCAGTCTTCCTCCCCAGTGACAAACAGTTACTTTTAGCAAACGTGCACTCGTGTGGGTTCCTGTCTCAGCTCCCTCTTTACCCCGATAATGGACATGCCCTTTACCCTGTCCTGCATCTTGCGATTACCTGGCTCCCTTCCTTGGAACGTGAGCTCCACGAGGGGCAGGGATCGCAGTCTGTTGTTTACGGCTATTAGCCCCGGTACCACCGTCCCTGGCACATAATAGGCATTCGATACATTTTTTATTATGAATGAGCTTTTGACGTTCCTTGTCTACATGTATGCCATTGTATGTGAGCATCATTCTAATTAGTCACTTATCAGTAGACTTCCCTTTCTTTTGGCATAATAAGCATCCTTACTGATACACTTTTTTGTTTTTTAAAAGAGTTTATGTAGAACTAGATCAGAAGATACATATAGTTTTTAAATTTGGTAGATAATACTAAATTGCCTTCCAAAAGCTTTTACCAATTAACATTCAGCAAGAAACAATAAGATGCCAGTGTCACCGCACTTCTGTCAAAAGTGGTCTCTGCCAACCTGAGGCGAAAATTTATTTCATTATTTCAACTTGCTTTTATTTAATTGTGAATGAGGTTAAGAATCTTTTGCAATGTTTGAAGTCTTGTTTTTTTTCTGTGAGTTGCCTGTTTGTCCTTCTCACAGCTTTTATTGTGCTATTGATTTTCAACAGCAATTTACATGTTAAGGTTCGTTTTTTACTGACATGCATTTAGAAATTATTTCTCCATGTGTCAATATTTTAAGAAATTTTTGATTGTGTATATTCAGATTTACTCAATTTTTAATGTTTTTGATTTTGGTATTTTCCTTTGAGCTGCATTTCCCACTCCAAAATTGTTTTTCTAGATTTTTAAGTATCACTTAAAAAGTAGTATCACTTTTCACACTTGAATTTTCAACTGAACTGAAATTCAAGTATAAATGAGGATAAGGAATTCCAATGTTTTCCCCCAGTGCTACATGTTGATAAAGTGTCCTTTCCCCCACTGACTCAAAATTTCACTTCTTTATAAGTCTGTCTCTGGACTCTTTTCCCACTGTTTCATCTACTTATGCAGCAGTTCCCAAGTGTTTCGATTGTTGTAATTTTTTAAATAGCAGGGTTTACCTCCTTTCCCTTCCTTCCTTCCTTGTCCTTCTTTTTCTTTAGTTCTCTATTTTTCAGGGTTTATTTTTTAATTTTCATTTTAGAATCAGTTTATCTAGTTATATTCTGCAAATACACACTTTTTTCCTTTTTATTTGATACATATGTTTATTGTCTAGTATTTGGCCAGTAATTCCAGCATCATGTTAAATAATGAAGGCACATACCAGATATTTTAGTCATAAACATCTGCCCAACAATTTTTTGTCAAACAAGAGACGGAAAATTATTTTACTCTTTAATCTTTCCTCTCCTTTGTCAATATTTGCGATTTCTTTACACAGTTCCTTCTCAATGTTCAGTTTTATCCTGCTACTTCATTCAATACGTTTTCTGCTCTTCCCATCAACATGAGTACCTAAGTTTACCCTCTTACCTTTAGATGTCAGAGGCCACAACCTTCATCCATGTTCTTAATTCCACACCTTAAGGCTTCATTTGTTCTCTTCAGCCTATGAACATACTCAGTGCTTCACTTTAGGTTGAATAGATGAGTAGCCAGCCTTAGAAATTTTTCTTTTCTTTCCAAATATTTTAATGGAATACAGGAGGAGAAAAACATGTATTCCACATCCAACAAGTTGAACTGAAATTTTGGAAATACTATTTCTTTTCACTTATTCTGTTTGGGACTTAGGACTCTTGAACCTGAGGGTATGTAGTTTTTATCATTACTGGGAAATTCTCAGCTAGTATCTTTTCAAATAGTGCCTCTTCCTCCATTTTCTCTCATTTTTTTCTTTCTAGAATTCCTACTAGGTACAAAGTGAAGCTTTTAAGATTTTCTTTATGTCCCTTAACCTAATACTTTCTAACATTTTATCTCTTTGCTGAATTCTGTGTAATTTCCTTTACCTACCTTTTAGTTCACCAATTTTCTCTTCAACTCTGTCAAACATGCCATCTAACCTCTAACCATTAAGTTTTGAATATCAATGTCCATATTTTTCACTGTTGAAATGTTTTAATACTTCAAACCAGTCTTATGTCTTTAATATTGTCTCCTTTTCCAAATTTTTTCATTCCTTTAATGTTTGTGATTATTTTAAATATTTTGACTTTATGATCTCCATCTGGTAAATACATTATTTGAAATTCTTAAATGCCAAAACCTATTGTTTGGTCTACCGGCCCTTGCTCATGATTGGGGGTGAGGAAAAAATGAATTGTAATTTTAAATTTTAAGCTTATCCATAGTAAAATATTTTCTCTAGGAATCTCATAAGGTCTGTGTAGAGATGTTTCCTCTGAAAAGATTCGCTTTGCTTCTACCGGGTAATACAGAGCAAAACACTTTTATTAATGTTAACTTTTATGTAAATTTCTTAATTTAACATTCCCAGAAAAACTAGTAAACTTGAATCTCAAACCTGTTTAAGAGCAGACTTATGGTTGTAAATTATCACAGGAGACTAAGGATATAGACCAGGCCCTGGCTATGCATATGTCTGGGGATGGAAGGCTCTCAGTTTCAGCACACTAATGTTTTGTAACCATTAAAACCAAGTGTCTTGATTACAGTTACTGGCAAAATCAAACCAAAAGCAAACCATGATTGCCAGCAGGTTGTTATAAGTCCTCTACATTGTTGTTGCCTGTTTTAGGGGGTAGGAGGGTGGTCTTAGGGTATCTCCCTTATTTTCTTGAGAAATCAACAGATTTTTAAAAATATGTTCATATTTTATCCAGTATACTCTAAGTAGTTTATAATGGGAGAGACTTCCAGTTATATAGTCACCCATATTGCCAAAAGCAGAAGACCTATAAATACCACTATAATGATTTCTAGTTTATTTTAAAAAAAATGCCTAAATTCCTTACTGAACATTTCTTAGATTATTAGCCATCTTGACATTAGCTTCAAAATATTAGAATTCAGGCTGGGCACAGTGGCTCATGCCTGTAATTCCAGAACTTTGGGAGGCTGAGGAAGGAGGATCACTTAAGCCCAGAAATTTGAAACCAGCCTGGGCAACATAACAAGACCTCATTCCTTAAAAAAAAAAAAAAACCAAATTTAAATAGCTACACATAGTGGTGTTTGCCTGCAGTCCCAACTACTCAGGAAGCTGAGGTGGGAGGATCACTTGAGGTCAGGAGTTGGAGGCTTCAGTGAGCTATGATCATGCCAGTGCACTCTAGCCTGAGTGACAGAATAAGACTGTTAAAAAAAAAAAAGATTATACTTCTCAGATTTTCTAATTTCTTATCACAAACCAATGTGGACTGAGACTTTCTAAACATTTTTTTGATGTTTTTATTTTTAAATGCTACTCCTGTCTTTGAACATTTATAGTGACCTCTGTGTTGACCCTGCTGCCTCTTCAGTCCTTTATTCAATCAACAAACATTTGAGTACCCATTTTGTACTTTTCTGTGTACCCTTTTCTGTATGATGGTAACACCATTTTGAAGAAAACTACTGAGTCTCTGTCTTCATGGAGTTTATATCTTAGTGGATGTAGACAGATAAATATATCAAGTAAATTGCTTCTCGGCATATTGGCTAAGATCAAATATAAATACATCAAGCAGTGATATATTTACACTGAGTGATATGGAGAAAAGCAAAGCAGGATAATAGGTCAGGGAGTAACAATAGGGTGGAGGATGAAGAGGAGTGACCGCTATTTTATATAAGGTGGTCAGCAAAGTCCTTTCAGATGAGGTGGCATCTGCACAGTCTTAAAAGATGGGAGGGGGAATCATCCAGATATACGGAAGACTAGCATTTCAGACAGAGGAAAAAACAAATGAGAAAAACCTGAGGCAGGGATATACTTGGCTGCTCCAAGGAAGTCCATGTGCCGGAGAAAAGTGAGGTAGGCAGGCGTAGGTAATAAGGTCAGAGAAGCCATCTCTCCACATGCCCCCCTTCATCCAGTCAATACTATATACTTCCCAGTATCTCTTGCATTGACTCTCAGCCTTGATCTTACATCAGGCCCTAACCTTCCTTGCTGTGTTTATCTGAGATTGCCTATTACAATACTTCCCAAATATAGATGGAATAAATGTTTGATAATATATTTAATTACTTTTATCAGAATATGTTGTCTTGAATAGTTCCTCAATGAGTACCTAATAAAACATAAATCCCTGAATTTTGTTTCCTCTAGCATTACAATCTCTGGTTTGAAACTTTGTGATGAGAAATGAAGTTATGTTCGCACAAAAACTTGACAGTCTAGGCCACTTTTTTATTATAGCTTAATTGGCACACAGTTCATTGCAGATACATTTCACTTTTACACAAGCTTGTAAACAGAAAAATACACTGATGCACAAAAACATGATACTTCAATATCAAACTTAAAAAAATGATTTTTAAAAGAATACAGATTGCTTATTTCAATAATTAAAGGTGGTTCTTGTGTATGCACTCTATCATGTATACATTTAATTGTATTATATGTTTAAGGCCAATAGAATCTATAGCTAATTACTATTTTGGTTTTTGAAAATGGAAACATGCAAACATTGCCTTATTTTTAACTACACAAATAGACCATATAAAATGTGCCCTGCTATGTAGCTATAAAATCATGATGTACTCCAATGAAGTCATATAAAAACTTTAGGAGGCATTGCTATATAATCATAATCCTGCCCTTGAAACATTGGAATACACAATTAAAATGCATAGGCCTCAATGATTTCTTTGAAATTTAAAAGAAGCCCTCATTTTAAGGATAGAAATATATAAAATCTTACTAATCATGGCTCAGTTTGTTATGCAAGTGGCAGAAGGGCAGTGACAAAAAACATGATAGGTGCTCAATAAAAGCCATTTGAAAACTATCACGTACATGTATAAGTAATGATTTTTCATCATGCTTGTATTTTTCTAATTACAGTTCTATCAAACACTTGCCACAAAAAATACATTTATTTTCTTCTTCATTTAAATTATAATGAGTAATATTTCTTCCTCACTAGCCATTAAGCTCCCTGGAAATTTTAATCTACTTTACTTAAACCACTTTAATAAATAAGAATTTCCCCTAAATGGAATACCTTTGAGCTTTATAAACAACTTCCATAAAACATTTTAAAACCACCCTTAATTTGGTATAAAGACACTTTGGTAATATAGCAGAATACATGATCTTGGCAAGACCCAGCAAGAACAGTAAATGTCCATAATCTCAATGAAAAATACAGACTATAGAATATTCCATTTTTTATATTGAACTAGAATACAAATGTGACTGCTTAAATGCAAACATCTATCTCCCACCAAATAGCAAACAAACATTTTATATAATTAAAAACCAATTCCTTAGATCCTCCCAATGGAAAAGTAAAACAAATTGCAAATATTAGCAATACAGAGAATGATGGCAAAGACAGAGATAAGTAGTTTACAAGCTTATTGAAACTGCAGCCTGAGGATGCCAGATCAGTGTTATAAATATGAAGGAAAAAAACCTAAATATTTATTTATCACAAATAACTTCAGCACAAGCACCAGCTATGTTCAGATGTGGCCAGCACATAGGCCGAGTATAAATGCACAGATCACAGTGAACTGAAGCCATAAAATCTAGTTCCCTGACCCTTCGATGAACACTTCAGAGCAACAGGAGTATAGCAGGAGCCAAAACTCCCATTTCAGTTGCTCATACTACGTTAAGCCACTCCTGCTCTTATCCCCAATCCCTTTCCCACCAACAAAAAAGTCACAGTCAGCATACAATTTGTCAATCCTGGTTATCCGGGGTCTATAGACATGGCCATAATTTGTTCTATACTTATGTCAAAGAGAATGCTTACATAAAATTAATACTCAAAAGACATTGAACTGATGTGTGTGTATTCCCTTACTTAACATTCAAGTCATTTAGGGGGTATTTTAAGTCATCTATGGTATGAGTTTTTAAATTTCGAGTAAAGACTGTGACAGTTTTGTAACTGCATCTAATATCTTAAATGAGAGATTCTGGGCCTATCTAAATTAAGGCAGGTGACAGTATCCTCAGTCATTCTATATAATAAATACCCACTTCTGTGGCTGCAAAATCCTGAATCCTTAAATGATCTAGTCATAGGCTAAGGTTTTATAAGGCACTTTGACTCTGTGAAATATTTCTCCTAACTCTCAGGCTAAATAGTAAAGAAATATTTACAAAACTGCAGCAAATTAAGTTTCAAACTGGATGCTTTATTGGTAGGTCTAGTGGGGATGGTGAGAAGCAGTCTATACACAATGCCTATTAATCTCTCACTGTGCCATGTATCAATCATAGAGAAGATCCCAGGCATGGGCCACCTGAACTACTATGTCGCTTACTTGACTTCTCAGCAGCCACATCCCCCCTTCTCCTTTTCTTCACTGAGCTGATCCATAGAGGTGTGACCATTGGACCGCACCACTCCTTCAGGAATCCAGGACTTGTCCACACACCGTTCCATTCGCTTCATTATCAGGTCCAGAAGCATCTCAATTGCTTGGCTTATGTTTGTCCCATTGGCAGCACTCGTTTCAAAGTAGGGGATTCTGGAAGAAAGAGACAGCTTGGGTAATAACATGTAGAGTGCAAATATGTGAGATAACAATAAAATTTTACCACCTCAGGGTATATTACAAAGCAAAACAGACAATAAAATAAAAATAATTCACACTGCATTCCTAATTAGAGATGCACAACTGGAATTTTTAGACTTCTTCAAATCATCAGTTTTCATTATTTTTAAAGGAAACATATGTATGCAATATATATTTTAATAATATTTATAGAACTAATTTAAATTTAGTTTAAATTCTTAAACTAAAATGTTTTAGTTTAAGAATTTAAAACTTGATTCTTGGCATTTAAAAAACTGTTTAAATTCCTCAAGATGAAGAGTAAAACTTAAAACTTTTTAGAAGAAAATATGATACTATCTTTTTGACATCAAGATAAGGAAAGATTTCCTTTCTTTCTTCCTTCCTTTACATTCTTTTGTAGAGATAAGGTCTTGCTATGCTGCCCAGACCGGTGTTGAACTCCTGGGCTCAAGCAATACTCCTGTTTCAGCCTCCCAAAGTGCTGGGATTACAGGTATGAGTCACCATGCCCAGCTGCCTGAGGATTTCTTAATATAGCTACAAAAGCTCAAACCACAGAGAAAATATGTGATAACTTTGACAATATTCAAATTTAAAACTTTGACACCATAATATATATCATGATAAGCAAACTTAAAAGATAAACTAGGACCCACGTGGGCAGCAAGACCTCATCTCTACAATAAATCAAAAAATCAGCCGAGCATGGTAGTGCATGCCTGTAATTCTGGCTACTTGGAAGGCTGAGGCGGAAGGATCGCCGGAGCCCAGCGGATCGAGGCTGCGGTGGCCGGGAGCGGCCACTGCACTCCAGTCTGGGCGACAGAGTGAGACTCCAACTCAAAAAAAAAAAAAAAAAAAAAAAAAGTTCAGTCATTTAAAGTCTGGGGGGAAAAAGTCTGAAAATTGTCCTAAGGTCATGAAATAAATGAAGAAACATTTATTCAAAAGTGCTTGAAAAAAAAAGAAAGAACATATACAAAAACATGGTAAGAACAGCAAGCTCTCTGGCATTTGAACCATAATCAGTTCCTTCCTTCCTCCCTCTCCCCACTCCCTTCCCCCGCTCCCCTTCCTAGCAGATCAACTTGACAGAAGCTCTGCTTTAGGTGAATGTGGCCAAGAAGGCCCAGCTCCCTTTCCACTCAACTCCTGATTATGAGATACTTTACTGAGGGGCAGGCTTTCAGCAGTTTTACTTCTCTCAAATCCTGACTTGAAGAGGCTAAATTACTGGTGAGTGAAGCCAGGAGGTTGAGCAGGGGGAAGCGCCCTTCTTTCACTAAATCCCCATACACAGGGCAGAAAATCTATTCTGAAACTCCAACTCAAAAAAAAAAAAAAAAAAAAAAAAAAGATAAACTACAGGCCAAAATAAGTGGTGTTTCATACGTTACAAGTGAGTTAGCATTCAGGAAATATAATTCCTTAAATAAATTAAAATGGTAAACAATATAAAAATAGACAAAGGTTATGCATAGGAAATTCTCAGAAAAAAATTACATTTATGAAAAAATGTTCAACCTCACCAAAAACAAGCAAAATGCAAAGTAAAACAATAGCATATTAATTCACACTCATCCGATTAGCAAAAATAGAGAAATCTCCCAATACCAAGTATTGCCAAGGAGCAAGAAAAGAGGAGCTCACATTTGCTGCTGGTATAAGTATAAACTGTTATACTACTTTGGAAAATAAGGTGGTAATATCTAGTGAAGTTGAAAGTGTGCATGCACTGTGACCCAGCGACACAACATTCAGGTATAAGTCTAAAGCCAAAGCATTGTGATGTGCAGGAAGTGAGTTATTTATATCATACCTGAGATATCATTGATCCCCCCAGCCCTTGGGCAACTGAAAAGAGTGTATGTAGGACAGCCAGAGTCTCTGACCCAGTCTTCTCCAAGCTTGAGCAGCCTTATCCATTTATCTCAGTGAGCTGTATAAACGTTATCATTTTTCTATGGGTGCTTTGCTGTGAAAGATATTGAGAAGCGCTGTCCTGTAGCAGCACTATCCAACAGAACTTTCCACGATGACAGAAATTTTCCATATCTATGCCGTCAAAAAAAGCAAACCACTAGGCACACATAGCTACTGAGCACTTAAAATGTAGCTAATGCAACCAAAATCTTTATTTTTTTTATTTTTTTATTTTTTACATAGGGACTCACTCTGTTGCCCAGGCTAGAGTACAGTGATACAATGAAGGCTCATCACAGCCTCAACCTTCTGTGCTCAGGTGAGCCTTCCACCTGAGCTTCCTGAGTAGCTGGGACTACAGGTGCATGCCACCACACCTGGTTAATTTTTTTTTTTTTTTTTTTTTTTTAGAGACCGGGTCTTGCTTGCTATGTTGCCTAGGCTGGTCTCAAACTCCTGGGCTCAAGCAATTCTTCTGCCTCAGCCTCCCAAAATGCTGGGATTACAGGCATGTACCACCACACCCAGCCTATTTCAATTAATTTTAATTAAAACAACGGTGTGTCAGTGTGTCCTTGTAACAAATACACATGTGTACCCTTGAATCTAAAATTTAAAATAAATGTGTGTGTCTAGTGGCTAACATATTGGATAGTACGGCTCAAGAGAAACTCTCATATATGAACACATAATATCACCTAATGGAATATCTATTGCAGTGCTTTTTGTAATGGTGAAAATTTTAACCTAAATGTACATCAACAAGTGCATGGATAAATAAATAATGATAGTTTAATACAATGGACTATTTACACAATACTTAAGATGTACCAACGTGGCAAAAATCCCAAAATTCAAATATTGAATTAAAAAAACAAGTTGTATGATATGAGATCATTTGTGTAAATATTACATTGCATAAAACATTATGTAAATAAATATATATTGTTATGAAAACATACCCATATAGTAAAAGTATAACTTCTTGGGCTAAGAATATATAATTTGGAATGGTTTTAGCTAGTGATTTAGTTGGCATAAATCACAAATATTATCATGTAAAATGAATCCAGAAGTAGAGAGGTTCCAGTGTTAATTAATTCAATTGTTGAACAGTATAAACAAAGGACCTAGATTCATCCCATCTGTCTGTTTCACCATCCTCTGTCAGCTTTATCCTGACTCCCTTCATGACCACAGAAACTACAACATTCTCACATCTCAACACACCAAAGTCCCAAAGAAGAAAAGACCATCTCTCCTTGTGTATGTCTCTCAGGAGGAAATCTTTCCCAGAAGTCCCAAGTAGACTTGCCCAGACTAGAGTGCAGTGTCTTACAGGTCAAAATTGTACCACATGCCAGTGTCTAGACCAACTCTGGCAAGAAGAATAAACCAAGACATCAAGAAGCTAGAAACAGCTTCCACATGAGAGCTTTTAATGTTTTTTAAAGTTTCTTAATGCTTTTACATATCTTGTCAGACTGTTTCACTTCTAATGTAACTAAGAAGCATGTTAAAAGGATACATGTAGGGACATAAGGCTATTTATCCATTATGATTCCTCAGTAATGCTGTTTTATTATTTGGTTGCTTACTCCAGGAGCTGACAGGACTTGCAACTGAATCTCTGCAATTCTGTCCTGTTTTAGCATACTTATAGCTACTAGAAATTGGTTGAGGAACTATCACCCATCTGAGCATTTATCTACTCATCTTTGAGTTCTGCAAGATATGGTTGCTCCACTAATTCTACCATACCCATGTTCTATTATCCCTTTATTGGCTGACTCTAAAATATCTTTTTTTTTTTTTTTTACTTAGAAGATGTGTTAATATAAAATATCTTAATCAGAGATGAGTTTGTTGAAAAAATTACAAAGTCTTAGCAGTTTTTAAACCTCCTGACTCTTTAGTTACTGTCCATCTTTTTTTCTCCATCTTCGCCTATCACCTTCCCCCAAAATGAAGATAATGTATCTTTTTCCCTGCTGGTCATATGCAATATTTGATTACCAACTGTGAAGGAAGAATCCTCTGTGATTGGATTCAATAAACATTTATCAAGTACTTACTACTGAGCTAAACCTTGGGATAGTTTGTGGTGCTGACAGTGTTATAGGAATATAATTTTATACCGAGTTTCTTCAAAATATAAATAACTTGCATTTTTCATTATGATCTTTCTCAATTATAGACATGAAAAACCAGTTAATGCCCATAGAACAGTTCTTATACTTAATAGCTTGACCATTCTATTACCATTCAGAAGTATATTATTACATGGAAAAGCTCATCCTCCTCAAAGAATAAATTGGAAATACAAAAAGAAAAAGTAGTTGGGTAATAAACTTTTTTAAAATACTAAGTCAAAGGCATGCTTTTTTTTTTTTTTTTTAATTTTCGAACTGTGGGGTATAGGCATGAAGGCGAAGTTTGGGCTTCTGACATGCCCTCCTCTCCCCATTAGTGGCAGGGTACCCAATGAGTGGGTTTGTAGTCCTCATCCCCCCCTCCTCTGGCAGTGCCCAGTGACTGTTGTTCCTGTCCTTGAATCCATGTTAATTGCCCACTTGTGAGAACATATGTTCAGTTGTTTCTGTGATAATTCACTTAGAATAATGGTCTCCAACTGCATCCAAGTTGCTGCAAAGGATATGATTTTGTTCTATTTTTTTTTTTAGTTGGAGTCTCACTCTGCCACCCAGGCTGGAGTGCAGTGGCACACTCACGGCCACCACAGCGTCAACCTGCTGGTTTCTAGCGATCCTTCTGCCTCAGCCTTCCAAGCTGCTGAAACTACAGGCGCACATGCTACCATGCCCAACTAATTTTTGATTTATTGTAGAGATGAGGTCTTGCCAAGTTGCCCGGGCTGGTCTTGAACCCACAGGCTCAGGCAATCCACTCACCTCAGCTTCCCAAATGCTGGGATTACAGGCAGAGCCACCGAGCCCAGCCAATTTTATTCTTCTTTATGGTTGTGTAGTATTCCATAGTGTATATGTACCACAGTTTCTTTATCT